TGTGAAGCCGGGTGTGTGTGTGTGTGTGTGTGTGTGTGTGTGTACGGAGCAGCCAGGGAGAGCCGCCGGGCACTGCACAATGGACCACTTTATTTCTAGTTCTTACCAGACCTTGCCTAATGGGTTATCAGCCCCATGCTACAGAAAGAGAGAATAATGAGTAAAAACTTACTGCATTCACGGCTCACTACCCTCAGCACTTTCCAAGCATTGCTTCCTGTGGTCCTCCTGGAGAGGACAAAAACCCTATGCCCAAGGGAGGGTTTGGAGCCTGAGCAACTTGGGGGGGTGGGGGGTGGGGCGGATGGCTGGAGTAAAGAGAGTAAATGGCAGAGCCAGGATTAGAAACCAGGTCCCCCCCAACCCAGGCCTGTGCTGGTTCCACATCACCACCTGGAGAATAATCCCGGGGACGATGTAGCAATGCTGGAAAATGCTTAAACTAAAATGGTCAAAGGGAAAGCAGGACACAAAATGGTGGGGAGTATATGATTCTACTACCCATGGATAGGAACTGAGAGAGACCACAAAGAAATAGAGTGGTTTTTCACTTTCCAAACTGTTTGTTTGGAAAGTAGCATTGTGCTTGCAATAGATAATTGTGGCTAGAGTTTTCTGAACAGGAGCCGGTGACCTGCGTGGTCCTCCTCCAGCCTCCTGCTCTTCAGTTCTTGCCCTCATCCCCTTCTCCTGTACACACAGGCTCACACACATCCCCCTTCACACCAAGCACTGGTGAGGCTGGAAGGGGTTCCTGCAGACTGGACACCACAGGGAGGCGGTGAGCCTGGCACTGCCCAGCGACAAGACACCTCCTGAGCCTTTCTGGCCTCCTAGCCCTAGAGGTCACTTCCTAGCCATATGACCCAGGCAGCACTCCAGCATCTACACATTGGCTCCTTTCTTGTCTCTTTCTTTCCTTTTTAGTGTTACAGGATTTTTGTCCCCTTAGTGCCCGTGGTTCTTGGTCAGACCACTTGGAAGAATGACGAGGTAAACCAGATGAAGAGTGGTGAGCAGCAAAGCAAAGTTTATTGAGCGATAGTATAAAAGTTCCAGAGAGGGAGGGGGGCCCAAGAGGGTTGCCCCTGGAGTTTCTAAGTTTAGGGGTTTTATGAGCTCTCTTGAACTATTTTAAGCAGCCAGGCTGTGCTGAGTCATGCCAGTCAGGGCCTTTGGTCACGTATCCGTCTACTATTAGGTTAATGTTTATGCGCTGATGATCTTTTTTGGCTGACATCTGGGGGCTTAGGTCTTAACTGCCCCTTGCCAGTGATATTGACAAATGCTTTTGTGGTTAACTATCTTATTTTAGGACATTTTGCAGAAGTCATTTCTGCAAGGGCTGCAAAGCAGAATGTTAGTGCGGGTCCTGTCTAAGCTGCAGAACAGGATGTCAGTGCTGTTTTATTTTAGCTGTCCTGACTTCATGTTTTCTTGTTGAGGACCCTGACCTTGACTGCTTAACTCCTAACATGAGGGCAAAACCAAAATTCCTCTCATTTTCTTGCCCCCAGCAATTTGACACTGTTGCTGAACTCCTTTGAGTCTTGCCTTCCATCCCAGCAGCTTATCAGGGTATTTTTCCAAAGAGAATTCCCCTTTGCCAGCTGTGACCATCCCATCTTTGATCCCCGCAAACATTTCACAATAGTGTATCCAGCCTCCTTCTTCAATCATACTCACACTGGCCTGGAGCCCAAACCTGCCTCTGTCCCTTCCCCACTGAGGGGCCTGGGCAAGTCACTGCAGCAATCTGCACGTCTGTGTCCCAACCTGTGACCTGGGGGTGATAACAGAGCGCATCTCACAGGGTTGCGGGTCAGGGGTAAGTGGGACAAAAAAGTAAAAGTATGGAGAGCAGCTCTGGGCATGCAGGTATGAGTGCTCAGTATCTGAGCAGTTAACGTGTAGTCATGTCAACTGCCATTTTGTCCCCTCCTCCCCACAAAATGTGCCCATTACCTGGGTCTGGAACCAAGACTGACTCAGTCCTTTATTAGTCGTTTCCCGCTAAGCAGTCTGGATAAACACACGACCCAAGTCAACATGTATTTTAATTGAGATCAAAACATTCTCACAAAAAAACAAAAACCCAGATATAATTGTATTGCTGGTAAAATAGTCCTTCTTACACAGTGATATATGTTCCTTGTTCAAGAAAAAAAATAAAAAAACTGAGCTTGGGTGGCTCAGTTGGTTAAGTGTCTGCCTTCAGCTCGAGTCATGATCTCAGGATCCTGGGATAGAGCCCCGCATCTGGCTCCTTGCTCAGTGGGGAGCCTGCTTCTCCCTCTGCCTGCTGCTCCCCCTGCTTGTGCATGCTCTCTCTCTCTGACAAATAAATAAAATCTTTAAAAAAAATTCAAAATCTGCTACAGACATTCACTCTATAAATAATTCCAGTGTTTACAATGTGTGGGGCAGGGCAGGGGGTAGTTGGCAGTTCAGGGAGGGATGGACCTGGGTCCTGCTGCTTCTGCTCCTGAGAAGACCCAGCAAAGACACAGAGTCTACAAGAGACCTCCCCATCAAGGGACAGCAGCGATCCTCAAGAAACAGAAACCCTCCAGTGGGAGGGCAACAATATTGAAGGCAGTGGCATTTTACTGATCCAAAGTGAATGGAAATGAGGCGAGCAAAGGCCCAGAGGCAAGAAATCCTGCTCTCCAGGAAGAGAGGAGGGTTCCGCTTGGCCAGAGCCTTGGAGGCATAAGGGGAAATAAGGTGGGGAAGGCAGCGGAGCCGCAAATAGCTATGGGTGCTGGCAAGTTACTTTGTCATTCCAGGTCTCCATTTTCCCAACTGTAAAATGGGGATAATCATATAATCAAGTGCTTAGGGAAACCTCAAGGATTCATGAGATCATACCTGCTCTGAGGACGGATCCTGGCACAGTCGGCAGCTGTTGAGTGTGTCCAAGGACCCCTCCGCCCCCAACACACACATTTTATAAGAGTGCCTCAGGGTAGATTTAACTTTAAAATTTGTTTAACTGTGATCAAATAAGTCAGATGCAAGAACACGTACTCGGCATCAACTATTAATATTTTAGAGACAGCTGGGTGCCTGGGTGGCTCAGATGGTTGGGCGTCTGCCTTTGGCTCAGGTCATGGTCCCACGGTCCTGGGATCGAGCCCCGCATCGGGCTCCCTGCTCAGCGGGGAGCCTGCTTCTCCCTCTGCCACTCTCTCTCTCTGTCTCTTAATAAATAAAAATAAAATCTTAAAAAAATTTTTAGAGACAGCTAAGCGTTAAGTGTTGCGACTAGAGGCGCACATTTCTGGATATACCTCAGAAGGAAGCTCTTCCCTGCCAAGTTGTAGAAAGATCTGGATTCCTTGCAAATGTGTCATTGATTAGGAGGCAATTATCCCGGCCTTTCTTGCCTCGCTTTGTTTCGTTCCATTCTGGCCTGTGCACGTCTGCTCACGTAACCCTGTACCATCAAGTACAATAGCTGTACTTGACGAGGGCCACGTTCAACTCAACGCTGCTGGGTAGGACACTCGGGCCTGAGACCAACTCCCACCCAAAGTCGGCAGGACGTGGTCACATCAACAGGACAGCGTTTCCCACTGTGGGCATCTCCAGGACACCCTGCATCAGGAGCGCCCCATTTTCCACAAGTTCCTCAATTGGTTCTCATGCCTCATATGGTCTGGAAGCACTATTCCTGAAGGATTCTTCATACTTTTACCAAGTGTGGAGGGGGTGGCGCGGGGTTACAGTGTTGCCATTTGTGCCAAAGTGGAACAAGCGGCAACAAGGAAACCAATGCACGAAAGTGAATGTTTTGAAACTTTGAAGGAAGGACTTAATGCCCACTTTCTGTGATACATCGTAGAAAGTATTTTCTACTCTCTGATGAACGTACAGGCTCACTCCCACGGTCCCTCTTTGAGTTCCTGCCATTCAGGAGGATGAGAAGGTCCTGGATGCCAAGAGTGATTGTATTCTCAAATCCAGAGTATCATCTTTCCCTTGGCGGGCTCCTGGATCAGCTAAATGGAAGGGCGTCCTGTGATTGTATAACAAAATTTTGTTTTATTTTGTTATACAATGTTACCATATGCAACTACTTCTGTGATTCCAGATTTCCTTGATACAAAATAAAATGGCATACCAAACCTAATTTTTTAAAACATTGCGGCAGCCTCAAAATGTGCATTCATCAAAAAAAAAAAGTGACTTTGCCCTTATTGATTCGCTTTATCACAGATGAATGTTATAAACTTGAACTTATAAAAGAAGTTGTATACCATAATTACATTATAAAATAAATGTACATCCATCAAATGCTGCTACTGATCACATGTAAGATTTCATGGAGAGTGCTACAGATAAAGACACAAAGAACTTGAAGACAGTGGGGAGCCATCAAGGGCTGCTCCCAGCCCCCAGACCAGCTGTTGCGTCCGTGTGTCTGCACCTGACGTGTTCAATCGCCATCTGTGAAATACTGGATGGGGGGGAGGGGGACTCTGCCTCAGGG